ACCAAGGCAGGCAGAAGCTGACCAAGCTCCATACCACTGCTCTCCCAGGGGTTAAACGGACACATTAACAAAGGCGGTGTCTTTAAGAAGAAGGACTATGGGCTCAGGAGTCACGAACCACTGGGGTTTAAACCCCAGCTCTACCACTTCCTAGCCTCAAGGCTTCGGGAAGGCTGCCTCACCTCAGAGCCTCCTCGTCGTCATCTGCAAGACAGATGTAATAAAAGCCACCTTACAGGCTTAGGAAACACAGCTCAAAGGGGCAGAGCTGGGATCCAGACCCTAGACTGCCGGACTCAGAAGCTGTGGGAGGAACCTGAGACACGCCTCCTGAAGAGTTCTCTATCCCCAAAGGAACACAAGTCTCACAACGACAACCTCCCCTTAACAGAGTGGGACCCTGAGCATGCTGGTGGGAGGTGAGTGGGGGCGTTCTCCAGTCCTCCCAGGATAGAAGATACCTAAGAGGTATAGTACTGCTGTGTAGTCAGACCCTATTTCAGAAACCAGGGACAGCAGTCAGGCTGCAGAGGTCGAAAGGAGAGCCGGCACAGCGAGGGACCTGGTGAGGACATTCAGGCTTCAGGGAGGGAGAAAAGGTTTCTGGAGACTACACAGAGCCCACAGAGCCTAGACGCAGCTCTGCTCACAGTTTCCAGGAGCTCAGACAGCTGGGCCCCAGAAGTCCATGGGGGGCAAGGTAAGAGAGAGCCAGCAGCCTGGAGGAGAAGGAGATTTAAATACACATATGTATGTACCCTTGTACATATGCGTGTGCATGCACACACATGCGCACGCGCGCACACACACACACACACACACACACACACACACACACACACACAGCAAGAACTATGGCACTGAGTCTTCCTTCTGTGCCTATCTTTTCCCAGCCCCAAAATGCAGGAGAGGAGTCTGGCTTTCTATTAAGGAAGTGCTAATGAGCCACAGTGAAGACAGGGAGTCCAGGCCAGAATGTGGGGAAAGGAGGGAGCCACCCCTTTCTACCTATCTGAGCGGTGGTAGCAAAAATGCTGGCACTCTCAGAAGTAGGTCTAGGGGTGCCTGGGTGGCTCGGTCAGTTAAGCATGTGCCTTTTGGCTCAGGTCATGATCCCAGGGTCCTGGGATCAAGTCCCGAGTGGGACTCCCTGCTCAGCAGACAGTCTGCTTCTCCCTCTCTCTCTGTTCATGCTCTCTCTCAAAATAAATAAATAAAATCTTAAAAACAAAATGAAAACAAAAACAAAAACCAACACAGGCCTGGGCTGCCTCACTGGATGATGGGGCAGAAGCCACAGGGAGGTTGATGGAACAGTTAGTGGTGCCCAAAGAGGGAAAAGGCTATACTCAGAGGAGACATGAGAGAGCTCACCATCCCTGGAGGTAACCAAGCAGAGGCTAGCCCATCCTCGCATGGTTGTCATAAAGGGATTCCAACCTCAGGTGGGTGTCTGGGCTGCTTCACTACTCCAGCCATTTCCAATTTGAGATTCCCAGCCTGCGGACCCCGTGTGATGACAAGGAGGGATTTAGCGTGGCTTTTTCTAGGATGAGCAGCTCTGGTGCCCAGGTCAGCACGGATGCCGAGGGAAGGGAGGAGTGACATGTCGGATGTCCAGACTGGCCCCAGAAGAAAAGAAGTGCTTGAGGGAGGAACCTTAGGGCAAAGCAGCCCAGAGACAACAGGGTCCTGAAGGGCAGCTAATGGGGCAACGAGACCAGGAGACCAAGGCCCCAGGTTAGCGCCACATCTAGGTGTGAGTGTGAACTGGGCCTCGCTTGTCAGGAGATCAAACAAGCCCAGGACAAAAAGGCCTTCAGAACCCTGGGTGGCGAGCGTCAGACACCTTCCCCCAGGAAGGTCCCAGGCAGCGCTCCCAGACACACAGCTAAGACAACAAAGTGGGCTGGTTTCAACTAACTCAGCCCACACTTTCTTCACAGTTCTCTCATCAAAAAGGGTAAACTAGGGACATTTGAGCAAGTAAGCCCCTGCTGTGCTGGGGACATGGGAGAACAAAGGGAACAGAGAAAGCCACCGTGGCTGACAGAGCCGCCCAGTATGGATCTGCTGAGCCCAGGCCGCGGGTAATTTAGGAACTGTCGTATCTCATCACGAAGCCACCACCCGTGACTCTTGAAAAACCGTGGAACGGAGATGAGAGATGTCTGGGGTCTAGCAAAGGGTAAATGTTTTCAAAGGGAAAACAGAATGACACGGAAAATTCCAGGCTAGTCAGTGTCGAGGCCATACCTGAGAATTTGGGATAAAATCAACTCTCAGTCTGTCCACCTTTGGGGCTCCATCATGGGCCACACACCATGGGACACAGAGGCCAAATGAGAATTACCTTTCACATCTTAGTGTGCCAACAGTTCGTCCACAGCACGGAGGAGGAAAGGATAACGAAACGGGAGAGGAATTCATACTGCAAACAACTTCTCAGGTTGGGGTCTACTTCCCAGAAAGTGGAGAAATGCTGAGATGATGCATCAGAGGTTGGGGGGGCGGTGGAGGGGAAAGGACACAGCAGGACCTTAAGGCGGGTGTTCGAGTCTACTTGACTCTTGGCCCAAATCAGTGGGGGCAAGGCTTGATAAGTCAGGGAGCACTTTTTTCCTAAATAAATTGTTTAGAGGATCTATACTGTAAGATGGAAGCAGCAGCCTCCCCGGGTTGAGGGGGGGACTATGTGTGGAGGGGCGAGGGATGGAGTGGAGCCAGGAGGAAGGCACTTCCTTCCCCAGCCTCCCCCGAGGGGACCCTGGCCTCCTCAGAACTGTCAGAAAAATCAGTGGGCTGGACAAAGGAACTGAGAATAAACTTATTGAATGTGACATCGATTACAAAATAGATTCAATGAGACACAAGGAGGCAGGAATGATTTTCATAAATAATCCTGAAGAATAGCAAAAAGAATTCACCGGACCAAAGTATGAACTCAAAATGGCCAGGGCAAGTGGGAGATGAGCCTTCCTCCCTGTCTCCTCCCCTACGCCCAGATATACGTGTGGGTCAGGAAACCCAAACCAAGTGAAATCAGGGTAGCTCAGGCTTACCAAAGCAGCTAACAGGAAAGAGGGAAATCTAGGTTCTAGTTTTAAAATCAGAGACCACATACAGCTTTGATTCTGACTGGAATAAGCTAATTAGGTACCTCAAACAGACAAGGACTTTGCCTCAGATTATAACTTAAAAAGAAAAAAGATTCTTCTGGACATTCAAAACTGAATGTTTAAAAGGCCCTTTTTAGCTGTGGTGTACTGTTTTGTTTTTGTCCGGTTGTGGTGACTTACTGTGGTAAAACATATATTTCATCAGGTTAGCATTTTAACCATTCTTAAGCATACGATTTAGTGGCATTAACTCTCTGCATACCGTCGAGCAACTGTCACGGTTCCATTCCCGGAATGCTCTAGTTCCAGACCCTTCCATCACTCCATACAGAAAGTCTGCATGCGTGAAGCCGTAGCTCCCCATCCCTGCTCCTTCAACCCCAGGACCATCTAGTCTACTTCCTGTCTCTGTGAGTTTGACTATTCCAGAGATTCCTTAAGTGGAATCCTATAGTCTATGTCCTTTCGGGTCTGGCCTCTTCCCCTCAGCATGTTTTCAAGGTGCGTCCATGTTGTAGAGTGTGTCAGAGCTTCACGGCCTTCCATAGTAGATAACATTCCCTCACAGAAATGCCATTTTTGTTTATTCACCTGTCCATGGATAGTTGCGTCATTTCTACCTTTTGGCTGTTGTGAATGTACCACATGCTTCTACAGCCATGAGATGGAGAAAGTGGAACTGGCTCCTGGGACAAAGCAGGCGGGAGGGCGAGGGAGGGAGGCATGAGAACAGCAAGACCTAAAGGCAAGGTGTGACTGAACAGAGAGCCTTGAGGAAGGAGCGGGTGAAAGGCTGGAAATCAGGGTTAAATCCTACACTGCTCCAGATGATTCCCAGGGGGGCCTTCCAGTTCTGATCATTGGTCCACCAAGACCTTGACCATTAGATAATTAAACAATTAACAGTCTAATGAAATACCCTGCCTGGAGGGTGGAGAGAGAAAGGGGAATTTGGAGGCAATCAAGGTCTAATCCCTCCAGAAGAAGAACTCGGTGGCCACGGCGGTGTAAGTAGAGAATGATGGCGGAGACGGCCCCCCACTTTTCCTGGGGCTTGGCTCCAAGTGAGCATCAAAGAGGAGCAGAGAAATGGTTTCCACAGAAGCTGGAAGTGCTCGTACCTGCCTAGGGACAGAGCGCTTTCTGGGACTAGGCTGGCCTGTGAGGGAAGTCTTAAATCAGTAGGGAAGGAAATGAGGGAAAGGCTTGGTGGACAGGGCAAAGGGGAACATGAATGGCTTCCACCACAGACCAGAATGGCTTGTGGCCAGGTCCGAAGGAAGGACACAGCCTTGGGACGGGGGGGTGAGGGGGGCACAGCATGCCTAAGAGAAAGAGGAAATATGGGAGAAAAACAGAGAACAGGGTCTCATGCCCACATTCTTGACTGTGTGGCTCTGTCCGAAACACTGAACCACTCTGGGCCACTCTCCTCATCTCTGTGATGACTGGCTCAAAAGCCATCATCCCTATGGTCCCCTCCAAGGCCAATTCCAGGTACATGGGGGGCACTGAAGAGGGTGTTGAGAGAGGTCTCTTCCATACTCACTCTTCCAGCAAATATTTACTGACCACTGCTTTGTGCTAGACGCCCTGCCTTCATCCCACCTGACACCAAGTGGACGGACAGGAGGGACAGTGACACGACTTTCTTGTCGCCAAGGTTGACAAAGGCAGATGAGAATAACTACCACCACTGTCTCCACGAACAACGCACTCCCTGTGGTCTAGGTCACTGCCGATGCCAAGCCAGAGGGGTGCCCCAGAATCATGCACCCTGACCCCAAGTGCGACTCCTGGGCTCCTGGGAGGAGCTCCTATCAGCGGGCCGGGAAGGGAGGGAAGAAGACGACAGAGGTTTCAGGTGCCAGCCAGACTCACCTTCACGCAGGAGTAGATCACGGACACAAATACCACCAACGTCAGCAGCAGGAAACAGGTCAGGTAGAAACTCAACATGAACACGGAGCTGGAAAAAGAGAGGAGGTGGGGAATTCTGGGGGCTCTGAAAGCCTCTAGAAGGAGGGAGAGATGGCTCCATCTCCCTGAACCCACTGCCCAGTCTCTTCCAGCCCCTGACTCACTGAGAAAGGGGCTTACACAGCCCTGTGCACTGATTCAGGACCCCTCCATGATCACCTGGCTCCCATTCTTGCCATCTCCCTGCACGGCACAGAAGCCCGAAGGGGGCTGAATGGAGAAGCGAGTGTCACCTGCTCAATATTTTGCCTAAATCTTAGCCATCCAGAGACTCACTTCATTTGGCTTGGAAGGACCCATTTTAAAAGTCACCTGGTTATTCCCCCCAGGCAGTTACTCAGGGCTAGGTAAGTAACCATGAAGGCTGAAAACAGGATAGACGACCATCACTTTTTAACACACATTTGTCAGCAGCCTAAGCAGACACTCTGAGAAACAGCGGTGATGTATCCCTTTGGGGGACAGAGTGCCTAAACCCTGTATCCTGCCAGGCCCCATGACAAGTCCTACTCAGCTTGCCAGTTCAACATGGAAATGCAAGGAACCCCCTACCCCATCCCTGCAGAGGCAGACCACAGGTGACCTTATTGTTCACCACGGGCCAGAATCCTCAGACAGGAGAGCTGCCAGTGACTTTCCATCTGGCCCTGCTGGGGCAGGGGTTGGCTAAGGTACACCCCGTCATATCAGGAGGCCACAGAAATCCCTTTTCCCTTGCAGGGAGCGAGAGCGGCCTGGAGGTGCCAGGCGCTGTTAGCAGGTTAAAGGCAAACGGAGGGCTCGACAAGGCAGGCGAATACCTCTAGAGAGGCATTCAAAGGGCATCTTTGTTCCAGGCTCCCCCAGAAGCCAGCACTTAGATGCCTTAAACAAACAGAACGAGGGTAGAGAACTCTCTTCAGAGGGAAAGAAAGATCTTTAAAGTAGCTTTTAATGCTTCTGTAGAGAGAGGACTGCTGGAGCAAGACTTCCATCAACGCCTTGGCAGCTCGGAGCTGTAGCCGGCAGGGAAGGAAGCCACAGCAGGCAGAGCAGGGACCAAGGGAAACCCAGCCCATGAGCCCCACTGCAGGAACAAAAGAGCGAGTGGCACAGATGCAGGGTTACAGGGACCTAGGCTAACTGGACTATTGGGAGCAGCAGTGGGACAGAAAGACTGGGTGTCTTCTTTATACCTGTAGCTCCATTTCCATATAGAAAAAAATGGGGTCCTGTGTCAATAAGGACCCACAGTCACACCAGCTCTGCAGCAGCTCAGCGTGGGGGACAATGGGCATTAGCGGCACCCACCAGAGTGGAGCTGGGTGCTGGTATCTGTGAGGTCCGGACAGAGTCCCAGCAGACACACATGTAAGGGCTATCCCTGCAACAGTGTCTCATTACAAATAAAACGTATGGAGGCCTTGTGTACCTCCTGCACTAATAACATGCACTAAGGAGGACATATCGCTTCTGTGGGATCCTCACCCAAACTGCATAACCTCAACCGAATTGTGAAAACACATCAGACAAACCCACATGGAGACAGTCTACAAATTAATCGGCCACCTCTCATCAGAAGCTCTAAGGCCACAAAAAATAAGCAAAGGCTGAGGAAGCGTCACCGATTAGATGGGACTGCGGAGAACGAAGAGCTAAACGCAGTGTGGGATCCTACCCAGCTGCTGGGACACAAAAAGGCCACTAGGGGCAACAGCAACAGAATTAGATTACAGTCAGTCAGATAATAGCATCATCATTCTGGGTTAATCTCTTGCCATTGACCCTCTGCTGCTGTCACGGAAGTGTCCGTGTTAGGGAAAACTAGATGAAGGATGTCTGGAGACTCTGTCTCCGTAGCGCTTCTGTAAGTCTACAATTATTTCAAAATGAAAAGTAGAGGGTGTTGGGGTGAGGGGATTCTCCTAGATTCAGCTGGACTTAGGAGACATAACCAAACACAACCAGTGGATCTCGAGTAGATCCCAGCTATGAGGAACTCAGGGCAGGAGTTGTTTGGAGACGACTTTGGGTATGTGAACATGAACTTGGTGTTACATGATTGCAGAACTGGGGTTAATTTTGTTTGGTGTGTGGGGCATTGTGGTTAAGAAGGAAAATGCCCTGAAAATAGGTATATGGTAAGGGCTTTTAGGGGGGAAATGTCCTTTCATCTAAAATTTAAATAATCAGAAAAAAACAGATGAAACAATGGTAAAACATCATCAATAATTATATCCAGGGGATGGGTGATGAGGATATTAATTATCTTGCTTTTCTGTATGTTTGCAATGTTGCATAATAAAAAGTCACAAACATGTAGCTACCTGCATACATGCACATACCAGTGTACACACACACACACACACACACACACACAGATAACACAAGCAATTCTCTTCCTTGTCTCCATGTGACTCTGTGACGATTTACCTAAGACTTCATTTCCGAGAGCCCACTGCCCACAACAGGGTGGTCCCCTCAGGGGCCACAGGCCTCCCTCAGGGACACAGCCAGTCTTTGGAAGTGTTCTGACCTATCTGTGAGAAAAGCCATCAGAACCAGAAATCCATTCTTTGAAATACCCAGAGGAGCAGAAAACCTTTATCTTTTGAAGATGTGTTAACGTTTTTGCAAAAACCAAAGGTCACACAGAAGCAAACCTGGCGAATACTTTGGGTGATTTAAGGGTGACCGTGGTGTGGGTGACAACGGGGCGAGATGATAAAGGATAAAGTGTCGAGAAGGAGTCTCTCACGCAGCAAGGCAGGCCTGGAGGGCTTCCCGCCCTGTCACGGGGGAGTCAGACTCCCGGCTTCCCGGTCCCTCCAAGGACACAAGTGGAAGGCTCTCCTTGTCTGAACAAGCCCATCCCCCAACCCCCTCCCTGCTCTCCTCCATGACCCTTGTTCCCACCCACAGAGCCCTGCAGCCAGGGGGACAGTACTCACTGGGGCACGATGGTGATTTGGACAAAGCAGATGAAGAGGAAGACAAGCGAGGCACAGGCCACGTAGGCACCAAATCGGTCATCCACCTGCTTGGAGTACTGAGAGGAGGGCGCAGGGTGAGGGGGGCCTGGTCTGCTCCAGCCCCGCCCAGCCCAGACACGCGGGCAGCCCACTCCTAACACCTGGGAGAAAACTGTCCTAGCCTTCGTGCTCAAGAAACCCGTCCGAAGCGACATAATGCGATGCCTGTGGGGACAGCAGCTGGACTGTGTCAAACCGGACACTTTCTGAGGGTCGGGTCACCATGAAAGTCCTTCATAATGATCCTGGCTCCAATCACGGAGCACCAGCTACAGTCTAGGACACGCGCCCGTCTGTGGTGTCCTCGGCACACCCTCGAAAGAGCCCAGGGAACAGGACCTGTGTAGCTGCCACTTTGCAGAGAAGCGGACAGGAGGCCTGCTGCAAATCACAGAGCTCATCTCCCAGGGGCCAATTCCTCCTGCCACACCAGCCAGCTGCACCCACCGAGGCTGTGCTGGCACAATGTCACCAGAGAGGGCGCTCGCGGCTCAGGTCCCGTTCCCCAGGGCCAGCAGCATGTGCTCACAGGTCAGCCTCACAGGACCAAGGTTGGGTCTGGCTCTGTCACGACTTCCCTGGTGGCCTACAGCAAGTCGCCCAACCTCTCAGTCACAACTTAAGGAGATGGGACAGAGAGATCTTGACTGTTTCTTCCGACTTTTTGTCAGTGTGCCAAAGGCAGAAGGGAGGTCCTCTGGTGATGTTCATAATGGTAACAGCAATAAAAATAAAATAAATACCAACTAACATCACTGAACATCCGTGGCAGATACGATTTTGTGTGTTTTACACATATAGACTTGTTTAACCCTCACTTTGCCCTCTGAAGAAAGTCAGAAAACGGAGGCATGAGGAAGTTACGACTTAGCCCTGCTGACCACGAAATGTCTCCCCGAAATCTCCATCTCCTGAGCACTGTGGCATTGGAACAGGCGACACTGACAAGAAAGGGCACTTTCTGTGGTGACGGGGACAACAGGGAACTGTCGCCCTGTCCTCCTCCCCCTGGTCCTGGTCCTGCCCAGGGCCTCCTTCCCACCCAGGGTGCCCTACCTTCTTCTCTAAGTCAGGCTCCCTGAAGGTCAAGAGGAACTTGCGGACATGCTCAGACCGCAGCCTGTCGATGCTCCTGGCGTCAATGGCGCGGCCCAGAAACTCATCCACTTCATCCTCAGGGTTTGCACTTTCTTGGGCATTCCTGGGGAGCAAGAGGAGCAGACGCAGGACAGGCTGACCACCAGGGGGCGCCGCTAGAGGGCCCACCCGGAGCCCTGCACCCAGGCCCATCAGAAAGGCCCTAATAAGGGGCGGGGACTCTGGGACTGTGACCAGGATGGCCTGAAGGCCAAGTCCCCTCTCTTAATCGCACACGTGCACAGAAAACTGCCCATGTCTGACCCTCTGGCTGAAGGGCCTCGCTGACAATAGGCTTTTCTGAACTACTAATACATTATTGTAGTGTAACAATAATATGACTTATCATAGAAGGTCTTATTGCTTTTCCCCACAGGTGACAGTCTCTGCTCTTCACTGCCCAGCTGCACCATCATCCCAGACACCCTCTGGGAAGCGGGTTTCATGATCAGGCTGCTGCACGAAAAGCCCTATTCCTCAAGGTGACACCTAGTCGTCAGTGGGGTAGCTAGTGCCCCAGAGCAGGGAAGTAGAAGAGAAAGAAGACATTCCCTCAGGGCACTAGGATGTGACCAGGGGCCTGTGACCAATGGGCTGGGTCTGCATTTTCCTGAGAGCTGCGGTTCCTGTGTGTGTGTGCGTGTGCACACAGCCATGAACAGAGTATGCATGCCTGTAGTTATGTGTGCACACATGTGTCTGTGGGGTGAGGACACACGGGCGGCGCTCATGCCCGGCCTGTCTGCCGGGCGGCCCCTCTGTCAGCAGCAGGGGCTCCGGTCACTCTCAGCCAAGACCGTGAGGGCACACTGCCCACACAGCACGGGGCAACCGATCTATAAGGCAAACTTGGGGCTATCCCTCAGGCCAAGAGAGCAGGAATAAAGAAAGGCGTATTACTCACTTGTCCTTGGGGTCTTCGAAGCCCTAAAAGAGAGGGATAGAGAGGGAAGGAAAGGTGTATGAGAACAGAGAGGACGCTTCCAGAAGGGACTGTGGGAAGGCAGTCTAGCTCACCAAGGAGCCTGCCCTGAGGGAGGCCTGTCACTCAGGAGTTTTTTCTTCCTTCCTTCAGCGAATACAGCCAGGGTCTTCCTATGGGCCAGGAGCTGTGCTAGATGCTGCAGGAGGCAGGCACTGTGATTTCAGGCCATCCACTGGCAAAACCCCAGTGTCTCAGCAAATCCTGTCCCCACACCCAATTCCCCAATCTCCCCTTCTTCCTGGACCCAGGCAGGGTAGGTCCCTCTCAATTCTGCCTTGAAATAAGCCTGGAACAAGAGAAACCACTGCGTGATCAGTTCCCACATGTGTGCACACCCCCCGTACCCCCACTGAGCACACAAAGTTCCCCCATCTGTGAGCTTAAAAGAGTTAAACTCCAGTGACCTGCAGCAGCCTTCATGGTATCTGAGAACCAGTGTGTTCTTCCAAGGCCAGAACTGGGTGGGCACCCGGGAGGTGAGAAACCTGCCTGCCACGGGAGTGACTACTGCTCACATACCCTGGGCAGCGGTGAGTGTGACAGTCCCTTATTGGTTGCCAACCCCAAAGCCCTATTTACAGTTAATCTACACCATCCAGGAAAATGTGTCTCAGGGTGTGACCAGGTGTGGCAGAATGGAGGGTGGGTTCCCTGAAATGGGAAGGGGATAGAATCTGGGAGGCGGAGACCTCGGCAAACAGCCCCAGGGCCGTTTCAGATAAGGCTCAGGTTGCCAGGACGAGGACAGAAGGCTACCTGCGGTTTCTTGCGGCCCAGTGTGGAGCTTACTGATGGGCAAACACGGGGGTCAGCAAGTGCCAGGTGAACCCAAATCCTAAAACACCGCAGACGTGTTTTGAAAATGCAAAAATCAGGATTTATGTTGCTCTCCGGGAACCAGAGCTGCCAGATGCTAAAAGAGATTGGGGCCCACACTGCCCCAGTGTCTCCATTCCTCCCGAGGGGAGGGCTTCCGAGGGCCTTGGCAGCCTCTAATGGCAAATCCAAGTGCCCGACCTCAGACTCTGAGCTCCTCCCAGGCTGCCTGGCAGTGGTCCTCCCTGGACAAGCCAGACCTTCTTCTTGCCCTCTGAGCATCATCAGGCCCAGGCCACGAGACCTGGCCCACGACACCACCCCAGCCTCGGCAGGAGGAGTTGGGGGGGACTCACGTGAGTGCTCCACAGGGGGGCAGGCCCATGCTGGGTGCTCCCGGGATCCGTCAGGCATGAGCTTAAGTGGGCAGCAGGGAAGCCAGAGAGCCAGCTCTTCACAGAATATGGTGGGGGGCTGGCCCTGAATTCTATCACAGGGGCCGGCCATGACTTTACTCTGGGACCGAGGACAACTGAGCTACTATTAAGCCAGCGCTGGCTTCTGCTGCTCAGAAGTAGACCTGAGACGTTTTTAACAAACCTGTTTCTGACTTTCTCCTATGCTCTTTTGGTCATCTGCTGGGGCTGGGGGTGGGGAACAGGTCTGCTCTGTGTGCCTTGTTAGTGGGGAGAGCTGAGCACTGGGCTGGTGTGTTGGCAGACTGACCATGGCAGATAGTCATTAAGTACACAGTCCAGGAATGCCTGGGTGGCTCAGTTAAGTGTCTGCCTTCTGCTCGGGTCATGAACCCAGGGTCCTGGAATCGAGCTCCATGTCAGGCCCACATTCAGCAGGGAGTCTGCATCTCCCTCTCCCTCTACCCCTCCCCCTGCTCATAATTTCTCTAATACATAAATAAAATCTTAAGAAAAAAAAAAATAACCCAGTCCAGTAGACGGGGTTCAAGTTCCCCGGACTGCTTACTAGATCCGGAACAGCGGTCCTCCACCCGGCTAGGAGGACCCCCAGACAGGTTCCTGCAGTTTGTAACACACCACTTCCGGGGAGAAGCTCTTCCTCTGTGTATCCTTCTCAAAGATCTCAGGCAAGCATACCACCAAATGCTGACGGTGTGCCAGGCAGCTTCTGGAACCACGCCATCCACAGCCTGGACATTCTGACTGCATGGAGGGGGCGTGGCGTGTGTCCTTCGACGCTGGCCTCTGGTGACTCTGCCCAGCCAGGATGAGGGCCGGGGAGTCTCTTCTCCCAAAGGCTGCAGCAGAGGTGTTCCCAGCACTCTTTGTCCACACACTTTCCTGTCCCTTCCTGCTAGCGAGGCAGCCAACACCACGGAGAAATCCTGTAGCCCGTCTCCCCAATGACACCCCTTCTCTTCCAAGGCTCCTGGTCCTAACAATGATTAATGTGTCTGCTAAACCAGTGCTCACACTCCCAGCTGCCTCTGAAATAACTAAAGACTGCACTTACACCAAATACCACCAGGAGAAAAGCTTCCCCACGACTTTAAACAGAGAAAGCCCACCGGGTGCCTTTCCTGCCTGCTTGTGGCTCTTCCACTCCTCGCTCCCACAGTCTCCTTCTCACCTCTGTCTTCTCCCTCCTATCTTCCTGTTCCCTCTTCCTGCCCCCTGAACGACAGCCTCCCTCTCTGCCCCAGGCTGTGATTCCCGCCCCCCACCTCTGCCCACCCCCTCTCTGGTCCTGGTACACAGATACAGAGTCCACAGGAGATTATGAAAGGGCTGGGGCGAGAACAGAGAGGAACCACCAATTGCTCTTTGCTTTGGGGAGGGCCCCCCCAGGAGGGGAAGTGGTGGCTGGAGATCTGTAGAAGTCCAAATTCAAAGCCCTGGAGGAACTCTGCCCCCTCATAAACTTGGTGTCCTATAAGTTGCTTCTTTACCATCAAAAATTAAAATGAAGGTCTTGACTCAATTCATTTTTTGACCCCATAGGTTTTCCTTAAACCGTTGTCATCTGTTAGTTGCCAGCTAGCAAGGAGCAGAGTGGCCGGGTCCCCAGCCTGTCCCTGGCTCAGTCTGCTGCCTCTGCTGGATTTTCATAGAATTTACCTGCAGTCCCTGTTGCTATAGCTAAAATGTGGTCAAACCCACAGACCCCAAATTTGTGATCATAGTGCCAGCATGCCCCATCTTATTCCAGTACTCTGGCTCCGAGGGAACAAAGTGCCCCCCAGACACACACAGCTCCCTGCACCCTCCGGCCTCACTCATCCCTCTCCCCAGTGTGGGCGCCTCCTGCCTGGGAACCAGGCTGCCCTCGAGCTAAGGAGCAAACGTGGATGTGGAAGCCAAGCTCTCAGATGAAAAGAAAGAAAACACTGCTGCTGTACCCTTACCTGATCTGTCATCCCTCTTCCTCTTCGTCCCATCCTCTGAATTATTTCTATCATCCCCGGCAGAACCCAGACAGTGCATCCCAAATTAGGCGGCCCCTGGTGAACTCAGGGAGGGCCGGGGCTGTCTGTCCCTCGAGGCAGGCAGGGTCACTTGAAAGGGACGTAGCACCCTTACCATGGCCTCTGCCCATCCAGTCTGCCTGCACCACCCCAGACACCTGCGGTTAGCAGGGGCACTTCTCAGCACAGAGGGCTAAGGGGACCATCGCCTGGTGCTTGCCAGAAAGTACTGAGATGGTTTCTGAGCCCGAGGATGTGTTTCAGCTGCCTGGGAAAGGTAGAAGGTGCTGGAAGGATGTCTGAGGAGTTGCTGCCCCACCAGATGGTGCCATGGGAGGACTAGAGGCTCTGCCTGGACTTGGGGTCTGCTTCCAGCCTTTGGGACTCACGGAGAGAACCCAGGGCCAGAAGGCAGGTGCTCTGGGTCCTAGCCCAGTGTTGCTTCTGTGACTCTCCAAGGTTCTGTCAGGCAACCTGAGGGGCCTGGCCCAGCCCTCACACCCACGGAAGGCCCCAGCGCCGGAGCGGCTTCAGCCCACACGCTGCCCCACCTGTACTTACCATCCGCTTCATCTCCTTGGACACCTGGTTGCCCCCCAGGTGGTTGTAGAAGGGACGCTCGGCCCCCCAGTGGGGTGGGTTGTGCCCAATGGAGTTGGTTCTCTGGCGATTCATCTTGGCAATCATGGCCTTTTCTTCTTTCTGCGAGAGTAAAACAGACAACATCAGCCTGTGGGCAGAGCCTACCGGGTGAGCCCGAGTGGGGTGTTTCTCATCCCTCCTAGGCACCTGGCCACGTAGGAATTAAGGAAGGTGGTCTTTCCTTTGGTGCACAGCCAGAGCCTAGTCTGGGATCCCGGAGCTCAGTGTAGAAAGCCTCCTAAATCCCTTCCCACTCCCCAGCGCTAGCCCTGGCTGGCCTAGGTGGGAGGCTGATCTCGTGAGAAAGCAAAGGGGTGTGGGGGCAACTGTCATTGGCACAGAATTCTCAGGGGGTGGGCAGAACCTGGGTCCAAGAGAGGAAGAGAGGAAGGGAGAGGAAACCAAGGATTCTAGTCTCCACTCGACTTATCCCAAACAGGCATGTTCTACCGGAGAGGCAGCTTCTGGAGGTTCGGGTCACTAGAACCTGAGAGGCAAAGGCCAACATACGTTGTACAAATACACAAGTGGGGCCTCAGCTGTCTCCCTATATGCCAGCCACGATCTCTGTCTGATCGTCCACCCATCCGAATGGGCTCCAGGTGGATGGTTGGAGAGGCCCTGGGGAGACCGGAGGCAGCCTTCCCCTCAGCTCCCTCTCTGAGCCTGGGAAAGAAGCCCTTCGGATCAGGGACGCAGCTGACATGGCTCTGGGTGGGGTGGGGTATGAGGTATCACTCCCTGTCTCCATTTCATCTTTCTGGACCACCTATCAGAAGAACATGACCCAGAGAACCCAGAGTAGCAGGTGAGGCCTCAGCCTGGGTGAGGCCTCAGCCTGTGTGAGGCAGGAAGCTGGGGCTGAAGACCTTGTCACCCTGACAGAGGGGAGGGTGTGGGAGGGCCTGGGAGGAAGTCAGTTCACTTATACTCTAATCAAAGAGCAAGGAAATGTTCAAAAATGTGTCAAATAAGGCTCTCCCCAGAGTGCCTGAATCCTCCCATCCTTCTCTGTGTTCTATGGGGGACCCAACGCAGCTCCTGTCCTGCTGTGGGAAATGAGGCCCCCCCCGGTGATGTCCTTGTCAGGGTGGACACCTGCCCCCAAGGAGCCCCCAAATGTACCTTTGGGGTCACCCAAGACTTTCTCTGGACTTTTCTCCCAACTTAGTTTTATCTTTCATCTAACTTCTTACAAAAGAAAGAGGGAAACCTTTCTCTATCAAAGGTCACTGACCAGCAGGTCAATTCAATGGAAAGATTCATTGGTAAAAGGTTTTTTAATCTAGGGAGAAATAGAAAATGTTCTCTTTGTTCGCTTTTTAAAAATCAAGAACGTGGAACATGACACTATTAAAAATAGAACGCCGAAGTCTGCTAATAATTCAGTTTTATATTTGGGCAAGTGTGGGCTGGGACAAAGGAAGGGAGGCGAAAGGGACTAGAAGGTGAAACCCTGGAAAGGACGGAGGTCCTCCAGAGAAACGAAGGTGTGTCGGGACAGACAGCAGAGACAGTCAAGACACATAGAGGCAGAAAATGGCCCAATATCCACCTGGTCCAGGCAACAGACAAGGAGCAGGATGGACATGAAACCAATGGTTGGACAGAGAGTAGATGGTGGACGGAGTCCCTGCTGTTTCATTTCCATGCCTGGCCTGCGGCTGTGCTTTGGCTAACTGATTGAGGCCTGTTGCATTTCTGCAATGAATGCAAAATTAAAACACTGTTGCTTTGCTGTTGGCCTTTGCAAGCCCTCTGTAATGCTCACGAGCTTTCCCAATGCAGGAACCACAGTGCGTGAGGAGTTCATGCCCACACTCAAGGAGAGAGTGAGAAGAGAAGGGAGGGGATGCTGTGAAACATTCCTCCCTAGAAGAACAAGTCCCCACAGCCCCCGCCGCCCCACTGGGTTCTCTCTGCCCCACCCGGCCCCCCAGCCCTCAGCCCTCTCCCCGGCCGACCCGCTTCTGGGTACAGCGCAGGATGAGGAAGGTCTCGATACTGTGCTCCTTGAGGTAGGCGTTGCGCTCGCCCCCACAGCCCGGCTCCACCTCGTAGTCCCCATTCAGGTAGTTGAGCGTGGCCTTGGTGATGTGGATACGCCTGCAGGTGGGGAGGGACGCAGGGAGAGGAGGGCAGAGAACATGACTTCAGACCTCTAGCCCCCACGCAGAACCACTCTGTGACTGACTCTGTCACAGATCAGATCCCAGAGCCCGGCACTTCGGCTCAAAAGCCAACCCCAGCCTAGATCCTGACCTCGATCTCAGTGTGCTGTATCCCTCCACTGTCATCGTCATGGTGGCTCCAGGAGGCCCCTTCCGAGCTCGTGTCCACCCTGAGCATACCATATCCCACTTAAGTTGTAGCTTTGTCATAGCAGAAGACATCACTGGCTCATGAGGAGGACACAGCCTCGGTCCCACAAACTTTGCTAACCTGCTCTGAAGCTGGCAGTGGCCCCGACTGAGAAGAGGCCTAAGCCCAGATCCCCCAGCTGCACACAGAGGTCCTTTTATTAGAGGCACTGTTTCTCCCACAGGTCCCTAATAGCTCTACTTCCATTCCTTGGAAACACCATGTTTCCTATACCTGTACCTGTCCTCACCTCAGTCCATCGGACTGCCTCTCTCTCCACCTCATCTTCCTCACCTGTCAGAATCCTGCCCAGCCATCCAAGCCAACCCATGTCCCACTTCCTTTCTGTCCTGGCTACTCCGAAATTACCCATGGTTCCTCCCACCTCCAGAACTCTACCTCACCTATCCCATCGCACAACAAGCGGCCCTGTTTTATGCAAATATCTTCTGGGTGAAGTTCTGGGCAAAGGTTGAGAGGATGCTCCCTACAAGTTGCCCTGGTGTGGTGCAAGTCATTTGTTAAGGAGCGGAATTTTTACTTAAATTCTGTCAACCCAGAGTTGCAAGTTACCCCATCCTGTCCACCCCAGCCCCCTGCCTCACAACAGTCATGGGGAGGGGGGTGGGCTGGGGAAGTTAAGTCTGGGCCCTCACTCACCCTGCCTTGCCTCCAGCTTCCATGTGGTTGGCCAGCGTGACGTCATTAGACCAGACGTCGAACTGCCACTTCCTGAGACCAAGGACACCGCAGTGTACTCGCCCGCTGTGAATTCCCACGCGCATGTTCACGTTCACCCCTGTCACCTCCCGGACCAACCTGGGGATGGAGCAGGGGTAAGGCTAGGAGAGGGTCAGGGACCAGGCGCACAGAGTGGGGGGCGAGGCTGGAAGGCATGGGATCGGGGGTGTGACAGAAGGTGCAGGGGTCAAAGAGTCACTTCTCTCTGGTCCAGCCCAAACCCAGAGTCTGAGACTGTTTCACCTGAGGTGGGCATGGGCTGGGCCCTGGTACTCAGCAGCTCCAAGCAGGGAGGCGTTGCTTCCCGGTGTGGCCACAAGGGGGCACAGTGCCTCACACTCCAGTCAGGACCCCACTGCTTTCCCAGGAAGGCACCTTGGGCCTTCGCTAGCTACCCTCAGTCAATTCAAATGTATTCTGAGGATGCAAATGCTCTTAGTGCCTGCTTGAGCCAAACAGGGAAGTTAGAGCCGCTGCAAACCCCGTTTGTGTAATGCTCAGAGTTGGCCCCATTGCTGCTTCTTGGATATTAATGGCATACTAAGCAAGGTGGTTAACTGACTGGGGAGGTTCCATGTGCTGGAAGCAGCACCACTTCCCACCACAGGCACCCAGGGCTGAGGGCGTCCCCGGGACCTGGGGACCCCTCCGTGGGCTGCAGGTTGTGACAGGAGCTATACTGCTCTGGGCATCCATCTGAGGCCCGGGGTCTGCAGAAGAGGGTGCAGGAGCTCGGGGCCGGGGGCGGGGGTACATGGTGTGTACTCTCTGGGGACCTGCATGCTCTCAGATACCCTAGCATAGGCCCACTCAGCCAGTGGCGGGCCGGCAGCCTGACATGGACCAGCCCCGGAGGCTTGCCCTCCTCCTCACCAGCCAGTGAGTGGTGAACACCCGATGCAGGGAAGAGTTATGTCATTCATCATTTCTCTTGTCCCTGCTGTGCCTTCCATCCACGGTGCCTCGGGACCCTTGCTCGAGTTGCTAGTATCTCATTCCACCTTTCTGGCTTAAATTACGGGCCACGTCCTGCATGAAGCCTCTCCTAGTCCTCCCAACGGAAACAAATGCCCCTCCTGCCCCCCATCTCAGTCTGCCTCCCTCACCTGATGCCATCCACTCTGCATGACTGGGTGGCATACAAGGGCACTCAGCAAACACTGCCCAAAGGGTCTCTGCCAAACCGAAGGGACCCGGCCGCCTTCCTGGACAGCTGCTCTGCCCTTGACCTTGTCCACGGCGGCTCTTCCTTTGCCCCTACCCAGGCTACTTTGAAGCTCCAAGTTACTGAGCCTAAGTTTGGATTATCTCCATATCTTTTAATAACCAGGGCTCCTTCTCTGGCCGGCAGTGACCGAGAATTGGCCAAAGATCCTTCTTGCTATTGCTCCCAGGAAGGATGGATTTTCTTAAATGGGGACACCTGCATTTGCATCCGCCTGGCATGTTGTATTACCCTGGGGAGATGTTTAACCTCCCCGTGCATCCAACCTCTCTCGCCTGGGAAGAAATGGGGCTGGGTGGCCATGGGCCCTGAGGGGTGAGGGAGGGAGGCACAGAGCAATGCATGATGGCCAGCTTGTCCTCCTCGCCTGCAGAGCTGGGGCCACACCTCCCACTGCCCCGGAGTCTGCAGAGCTCTCCCTTCCTATAGGACACGCTCCTCTGGAACAAGCTTCCCAGGCAGCTGTGGGCAGAAGCCTAGGAGAAGGCTCTAAGCCAGGAGGCACAAATCAACCCTCCAACATCAGGTCCTCAGGCTGTGGGATGGTCCCCTCCCAGACAGGCACTTACGAGATGGCCTCAATCATGTCCATGCCCATCTCCACACAGCAGTGGGCATGGTCAGCCCTCGCTTCCGGCAGCCCAGAGACACAGTAATAACAATCCCCCAGGATCTTAATACGTAAACAGTGATTCTCCTGGAAAGCAAATTAATTTTAAAAATTAAAAATAGTAGGAAAGAGAAGTGGGAGGGAAAGAAACGGGAAGCAAACAGATTCACCCCAGGCCTGGAATAACTTGCCTTTTAGGGCAGCGAGCACAGACAAATGCATGGCCCCAGCCCCAGGACAGGCTTATCAGGAGCCGAGGGGGGGATGGAGGCCAGGCTGAGCAGCCCTCAGGCATTCCAGCCTCCCCAGGCTCAGGAACTCACTTTTATGGTCACTGCTGAGACCCAAGAAGAGTGCAGTGGGTCCAATGTGGGTGCAAAGAGCGCAGACTTATCAATTTGAGGAAGGTCCCAGGTTGAGAGTCGGTGTCCCTGCTTCTACTCCCAGGCCCTGGAGAATGCTCTGACCCTTGGCCTAAGGCTCTATGAGAAGTTTTCTGATTCTCCTTCTTTTACAAAAAGACTGAAGCAGGAATGAGACTTAACCAAAGCTTGCTTGCTCCTCAGCCTGTCTGAGATTTGACCAAACAGCACGCTGCTAACCAGCAAGTATGTGAGGACTAAGACGTCCCCACCCCCCAGAGCTGAAGTCCTGCCCACTGCTGCTCCTGAGGAGAGTAACCAGGTACAACGGGGGTCACCCAGCAGGTCCCAACTGAGCCAGAACTAGGACTCGGATGGGATGTCACTAGTCACCAATTCTCAGCTCTCCAAGTCTGGCCACCAGAGGTTACTTCATGAAGTAGGACACTGGGACTCGAATGTCCGTGTGGCCTGGATTCTCATTTAAGGCCCGTCCAATGCCCGAGGGCCCAGCATATATCCAGTTCCCCTCATCCATGGTCAGGGGATAAAAACCACCATGCCAGTGTGAGACCCGCCATCTAATGCCCTTGGAGGCCCTGGCACCCCTCTGACCAGCACCAGCCTCTCATAAATGGTCTGATGGCAAAAGGAAACGTGTCCGCCTGTCGGTGGACATTGCAGCGGGCAGCCCTGACATAAAGTGACTCAACAGAAGTCCGGGACATCACTCAAAAACACAGAAGCTGGAGAGGATGACAATATAAACAGGGACTGAATGAGCAAATATGTCATTTACCGCTCTATGGCCTGGGTTGCTATTTCCAATTTGTCTGAACAGCACAGAGTCCTCTTTCTGGAAGCCTCTGGGGGGTGGCACATAGCTGTCTGTAGGCCATTTAGGATTCAGACTCATTTTCTTACCACTCTGGCCGAGCTCCCCAAGAAAATGGCTCTACGAACACCGAATCTGCCCCACCAAACAGAAATTCCTCAGGGGCCTGGGCAGTGTCACCTGCAGGCTTTCCCTCGCCCTTCCTCAGATGGAAGGCTCACTCCCTTGCTCCCTCATGATCACCAACAGCACAAAGACACGTCCAACTGTGTGAGGTGTGAGGAAACACAGCCACAGTGTGTGCATCCCCCCTGCCCAGCAGGACACATGCTGGCCCAGGGCCCGTCCCTGGGGCTCACAGGGCCTTGGCCATAGCGCTCTCCCTTGGGCGGCCCAGATGGAGCCAACCTTCTGGCTCTGGCACGGGCCCGGGTGCCGGGGACGGCAGGGAGGGTGACTCACCGCAGCCAGCTTGTCAAAGCGGGCGAAGAGCTCGTTGAGGGTCATGACCAGCTCCTGGGCAGTGCACTGGGATGCCAGGCTGGTGAAGCCCTCGATGTCGGCAAACAGGATGCTGGGGAGACAGGTGGAGGAAGACCCCTGTGAAGGAGGAAGGACAGGGAACGCAGCTGCTGGCCGGCAAGAGTCCTGGGGACGGGGGGCTCCAAATGGCTGCTGGGGAGGGCATCAAGGGCCCCTGGCCCTGGAGAGTTGAGGAAGTTGGCCTCTCCATGCTGCCCAGGAGACAACTCTGTGCTCTCATCGTGCCCTCACTCCCGCCCAGGATGGCAGTGGGGGTGGGGTTGGGGCAGAGGCATATGAGGCCAGGGAGTGTGCATCTGTCTGAGTTACTGAAGACAAGGCCCTGCGCACCCCCACCCCCAGTTCTGTCCCCTCTTGGGCCTGCCCTATGTGACTCCTGAACAGCCCCTTCAAGGTAGCTGTGGCCTTTGATTCATGGGCTTAGAAAGTGTTCCAGGCCCCAGTGTCAGTCCCACTAAGGTCTCACTTCCCAGCCCCACAGATAGGGTTTCGGGCCGAAGCCCTCCATCCCTAGGGAGTCTCTAGAAGGGACAGACTAAAGAGGCTCAGGCAGGAGAGAGAGAGAGGAAGACACAGCCAGCAAACATGGCTGGAAGCCTCCAACTTGTCCCTGCCAGCAACGGCAGCCTCATCCCCAGGCACAGAGTCAAATGCAGCAGCCGGTCCCACGGTGGTTATTGTGGGTCTGTCTGTGTCTGTGGCTTGTGTTCTGGAGACCCAAGCCATCTTCCTTTTCTTTCACAGCACACCACTAGAGGTGAGGCCCCAGGGCTGGAGTGTGGAAGGGCTACTGGAGTTTTTTCTTTCAGTGGACACAGAAACGTAATAACCCTCATGTACTGAGATGGCCTGGCTCAGGGCTGGGAGCTTGCAGACTGTCTTCTCACTGAGTCCTCCACGCAGCCCTGCAGCAAAGGCTTGGTGTCTCCTTCTCAGGGACGAGGCGGCTGAGCCCCAGGGAAGAAGCTGTCGACAGCAGCATGGTGGGCTCCTTCTCCGAGGCCTGTGTTCTTCCCACTATACCACAAGGCTCCTGAGGCCCCACATAGCCTTCCTTTTTTAAATGAGGAATGTAGAACAAGCATATTTTGTCATTCTATCTGGAAAATGTGTATTGGTGCATTAAGCCTGTCTTTCTATTCTGATGTTTGATACCTGGGGCCTCACTGACCCCGGGGAGCCTGTCAGTCCCAGGCCGGTCAGGACTCAGAGATTGTCCAACAGCTTGCCCTAGCGTCCAGCGCCCCACAGCCCAGCTAGGCTCTCACGATCAGGCCATGACTCTCCTGCCCTAATCACCCCCGGGATGGGTACCAGACTCGGGACGGTCCCTGCACCACAGAGCCCACTGAAATGGTTCCAACTAGCCCATCCCAAGCCTGCTTACCTATTCCTTCCTGCAGAAACCCCAACAAAGTCTCATCCTCAAATCCCTCTCACTCTGCCTCCTGACCCGCCGCCGCAGCACTTCCCCAGGGGCCCCCACGGTGTGGGGGCGACCTGCTCGCTTCTCCCAGGATGAGTAACAATCTTTCCAATGGCAGTTGTCTCCTCACCTCTTTGCCTTCACACATCTGGCTGGTAATAAAACCTGTCTTTTGAAACAACTGGACACTGTCCTGTGCCCTTTATGTGTATGAACTCACTTGAACACCACAACTACCCTATGAGGTCAATATCCCCCTTTTACAGGCGAGAAAATGGAGGAAAACAGAGAGGATGCGTCCTGTGCCCAAGGCCACACAGGCAACCTGGCTTCACAGCCCAGGAGCTGAACCCATAAATATGAAGCTGTTGGCTCCAGAGCCATCTTAAGTAAATATGAGCGTAATTCCAGGGTCCGGCATTGTGAAAGGGGCAGAGGGAGCCAGAGGGAGCCAGAGGGGCTGGTATGGGTCACCACATGGCGTCCGGGGCTCCATCAGGAGGGGGGCACCCTCAGCGGCTGCCCGCCAGCCCACACGAGGGAAGGTGCAGAGAGACAGGCCAAATGAGGGGAAAGAAGAAAAGCTGAGGAGGAGGAATGGAGAGGAGAGACACTGCCCCGGCACGCCACAGAACTCGGGAAAGCAGACAAGCTGTTCTTCAGCAGGCAGCTAGGGGACAGGGACACAGATGGTGCGAGGTGGTCGGGAGTCTCCAGCAGCCTTCGATGCCTGGGGTCTGACCAGGCAGATGGGCTCAGCCACCCTCTCCAAGGGGAGTACACAGGGAGTGCCTTGCGTCAGCATGCGTGGTAAGAGGAGCAGGGGAGGGAAGGCTGCCATGCCCCCAGTGCTGATCTCAGCCCCTTAACTAACTAGAGCCCCCTCTCCACCCAGCTGCCGCTTCTCTGCCAGTCAGTCTTGCAGGCAACTGGCCCGTTTCGCTCAGGAACAAGAGAAAGGTCTCTCCCAGTCTGTGGAAAAGCGTCATCACGTAGTTGTTCTGGAAACTCTTCTTTAGCTCTCAAGAATCCAGAGCTAGTTCAGGTTGGGGTCAAGATCCACGGCTCCAGAGTTAAGAAACATTCACCGGGCTGGAGCAGTATCTTGAATGCAAAGCCCGCAGATACCAGACCCGTGGCTATTCCATGCTAAGTCCAACGCTACACAGCATCAGCGGCCAGCTATCAGCGGGCCGTCCTGCCTCTGAGGCTCTGGGCAGAAGCCTTCCTTGCCTCTCCCTAGTTGCCAGTGGGGGGTGTCCACGCTTGGCATTGCGGGGCTGGCGGCTGTGTTATTCCCATCTCGGCCTCTGACCTCCCGTGGCGCTGTCCCTGTGTATCCAGGTCTTCATAGAGCATTTTCCTCCTCTTAGGAGGACACCCCTTATATTGGATTAGGGGCCCACCCTACTCTAGCATCTGAACCTGATTTCATCTGCAAAGACTCTATTTCCACATTCACAAGGACCAAGGGTCAGGACTTCAAACATATGTTTTAGGGGAACCCAGTTCAACCCAATGTTCTAATGTATGTTTGTTGAATGGAAGAGAACAGTCACCCTTTCAAAGCAAGCAAGAGGCAAGACCGGTCACCTCAGCAGCTCTTCCTTCAACCCCATGGTGCCTCTTGGAGTCCCAAGCTAAATCACCTGAGACAAGAGCCTGTGGGGCCCAGGGCCTAGGTCCATGGGATGAACGGCAGAACAGTTACAGAGGCCACGAGTGGCTTCCCAGTCCATGCCAGGAGGCGTGGGAAACAACGGTGGTGTGTGAAGGGCCTCCGGGGGGCCCAGAGAGCCGGAGACCCCTCCAGCCTGCTGGGGTCTGCTCTTCACAGCCCCTCCTGGGGGGGGAGGAGTCGGGGGGGCACAGGCTGCCAGCAGATGAGCTGGGGCGAGATGGAGCCACCAGCCCACTAGAGAGGAGTGGCTCCGAGTAGGGCTCAGCGTGGGTTGCTTCCTTGCACAGAGGCTTGGACAGGGTCTCCAAGGTCTCAGCTCTGCAACCCTGCGGCCTGTCATACACATTCATGAAAATTTCGCCCCCTCCACATCCCCCCACCTCCTGTCAGAGGGAAGTCACAGGCCTCTGCTATCGCCTTGGTGGAGGGTTGCCCTCCACGGCTGTCACTCAGGAAGTGCCTGTGTTTTTGAGGTTTGCCCAGCTGTAGGTGGTCTGTTCCCCTGGCAAGATTTCCTTATCGGCTCTTGGGTGACCCTGAAGGCCATCTTCCAAGCATGCCGGGCCCAGAGAGGCAGCGAGGTCCTCCTCCATCCATCAGCTCCCGCTTCAGAGCTCAGCTTGGCAACTCGCTTAGGCCCTGGCAGTGGGGGCAGTGGGGGCAGCGGGGGCAGTGGGGGCAGAGGGGGCAGTGGGCACGTGGAAGCCGGGCTGGCCCACTGTGGTGGCACGCTCCTCCCTGAGCCCGGCCATCCATCCCTTGCAGCCACCCACCTTCTCCTCTACAGGCCAGAGCGGCCAGGCCCCGAGGCGGCCCAGTGACCACCAGGCCTTTCCGCCGCAGCTCGGCCCAGCTTCTCCACACGCGTTTTTGGGGAGGCACCTCTCCCTGCCGTTGTTCCCTCTCGCCCCTGCAGGTGCTGTGACCTGACAAAGATGTTGGGGTCTGACCCTGCCCCTGAACAGAAGCCACGCCCAGCAGCCACTGGGGCACCCAGACACAGACTTCTCCTCATAGCCTGGGCAGAAGGCAGCACCAAGGACCTGCTTCTCGGACCTGCATTTCTCGGCACTGTACACGGAGGGGACTCAAGAAATGCTGGGAGGCAAACCGTCTGTTGAGGCCAGCCCAGGGGGCGTGGGGGCCTGGGGAAACAGAGGTCATCGGGCAAGGGCAGGAAGGGAGTATGGCAAGGTCTCAGCCCAACTCTCAGGATCTGGGCCTAGCGGGAGCTGAAGGTATTAGGGAAGTAGGGCAGGATGTGCCCTGGAGGCCCTAGCAGCATAGGCTGGGGAGGGGTCCACCCCTGCAGCATGCCCTCTATATGCTCCAAGCCATACCACCTGGGTCCAGGCCCCCAGTACGATAACGGAGGAGTGGTGGGTCACCGGCACGCGCTTGGCGAACGGCACAGTCAGGCTGCTCACACCAACGTCTAGCTGACGGCGGACACCAGATGACTGGGCATTTTCCAAGGGGGGTGCGAAACAATTAGAGCAGGGCGTCTGGACAAAGAGCAGCCAGAGAACCTTCTGAGGGACAGCTGGGAGAGGCAAAGGGGAGTGGCCACTGAGAGAATGCTGAACACACTGGATATGGGTACACAATCCACCCTGGACAGCCACGCCCCCTCCACTCTCGTGGCAACGGGCCACCTTCCTTCTGAAAGCTGAAGGACCCTGTGACTGGCTTGAATCTTGGGATTGGATCCAGCGGGTCTGGGGTCCACAGATGTCCTGTTACCAGCCTTGGGGCCTCCTGCAGACCCTATTCCAACCCCTGATCTCCTGGTCCTGTTTCTGCCTACCAAATCCTACTCTCACCGCCCAGACGTGGATCTCCCGTCGCACTTACAGACTTTGTGTTCAGAAAGCCTTGCAAGAGCTGGGGGAATGTGGCCCACAGGAGAAGCCCACAAAAGGTA